TTCTTGGCACGGACTTTGCGTTTCATGGCATGCCATCGACGTCAACTGTACTACTTGTCCTCACTGCTGGCTTTCATGGATATTTTTATTATCCTGTATTGGAACACCAGGTAGAGGATCAAGAAGGCAGCACAACCTGGCAATGTACAGTGTACGTACAATCAAGAGTATAATAAGCCCCGGAGGCGTAGTATCAGTATCTCCGTTTCAATGGCAGGCACTACGGGTAGCAAACTACATGTGCCCACGGCTAGCTAGCTGGAACTAATACACGTACCTGGAAATCACCTGGATATTATGACCTTGGCTTCAAGTAGATGATCTGTTGTGCAGCAATTTGTCAGTGGTGCCCGGGTTTATTGGCTACTGTCTGTAGTACAGTTGTACTCGCAGGCCCTGCCTCAAGGTGGAAGTTTGCAGTGCCATGCACGTATCATTACTTGCAGTGATTGTGGTATTCTTTATTTTACTTCAACAAGCGAACAGGCAATGATGCCTTCTCACCAGACAACGGCTGGCTCTTACAGAATGGTGTCAAATTATTAATGATTAGGGGCCATCCGTAATTATCGATCTTTTTCACGAAACGAAAAAGTTTCGTTTATGGGTGGGTGGGTAGCGACCGGTTTCGTTTTGAAAAAACATCGAAAGCGGAAAAATCAACGCTCACTGCATGCATTGATACATGCATACATTGTGTAGATCTACATCGAAGTAGATCGACAGTATAGTAGACTCTACGTCGCGCGGCCAAGCGAGTGCTGCATGGATGCACTGATACCACTCTGTACTCAGTGCAGTGAGTTCCTTTCGTCCTCGGATGACTTCTCCGACGAGGACCTACAGTTTTGTTTGTAGCAGTCATCATGGTCATTCACTCTGGGACCGACGACAGATAGATAAATACTTCGTTCCAGCCGCCGATGCAAGAGAATTTCAAATTACGGAGCGGGGCGAACGCCGCAAGTAAATTCTCACGCAAATATGGGGAGCGCCAGCCGCTGAAGACGATGTCGTCGTAATGTACCTGGAAGAATCTGATCGTGCTTGTGGTGGGGAAGCCATGGAGAGTGATCCCCGTGTCGACAGTCTTCCAGAGACGGAAAATTAGGCCATCGACTTTCTACGTACCTGATTGACGGCAGCGCAGCGCGGCGTGCGTGCGACCTTACGGAGCTTTCCGACAGCGATTCTGGGGCGATGCTGCTCTCATTTGCGAGCGAGGCACGACCACTGAAGTCTGTGATAGCTATAGCTTTTGTTTCCCGCGGCTCCGAAGTCGACTTGTTTTGGCAGTATCATGTCAATGTCGAAACTCTGACGATTTGCAAGTGTACAATTCCCGTGTTAGAGGTGTAGAGGTGCCAGCAGCGTATGTGTGTGGTAGGTGAAAATAAATGTTTCCATGGTCAAGAAGTAGTACCAGACTTCCAAGAAAACATAACTAACGTTGTTACTTACTTGCACATTCACACAAAATGTGGCCTCGCTGTGTTGTAACAGCCAATCAAGATCATTTTCTGCACAAAGTCTCAAGTCAATATTATTAATTGTTTCGTTTCAGGGGGGTGGGTGGGTGGGGGTGGGTCATAACTAAACTTTTTCGTTTCGTGAAAAAGATCGATAATTACGGATGGCCCCTTACCGGTATGACGATAACACTTGAAAATACCGCCATTCCGGCAACAGGCTCTCAGCTGCACCAAATATATAAATAAAGAACTTTGCCAATATTTCGCCCATTGGGCATCAGGAATGGCGGTATTTTCAAGTGCAAGAAATACGCTGCAATGGAGTTTGGGAATTCTGAAGAAACATTATGACGAAAGAGAAAGACCAAGGAACTACAAGTTACGCTATACTGTCCACTAACACCACCAGTTACTAAACAATCAGCTCATGCGATAACATTGCACGACGCTGACCGACGGTACTGACGTTCTACAACTAACTGGCTATCAGCTCTAGCACATCTTGGATGCGCACTCCAACAGCCTTCCAACTTGGAAGGTTCTAAGTTATAGAAATAACATAAGGAGGGGAAGTTCCTTGGTCTTTCTCTTTTTGTATAAATTAAACCTTGGCTCTCCATCTGAGTACAAACATTATGACGATAACTTAAAACACTGGGTATGAGGTACATGTACATTGTACATGTAGAGAAGAACAATTGAAAATAGTTCTCATACAAATGTACGTGTACACACATGTACATGTACATTGTTCATGACTGGAATGGGTACGGGTGGGTTGTGTGACTTACAATGTATGAAGTGTGTCGAAACAAGGCGAAACCAAGAGCGAACGTGTGCAGTCTGGTCCATACTACAGTAGTACTGTTGTCATGTTATCAAAGTAATAATCCGCAAGGGAAACAGCATTGCCCCTCACCTTGCAACCGCGCATCGCTCTACCAGGGCCATGATTTGCATGTTTCATGTGCTGCCAGTTCAATGGTTAGGAACTTAGGAACTTGGTCGTGCAAAATCCCTGATTGAGACTGAGGCCCAGTGAGGGTAATAGCTTCACAGGAAATCACTGACAAGAGAAGTGACTCCCTCTGGAGTCTGGGGCCTTCGATCATTCTTCCCATGCAAGTACATGTAGTACATAAAAATAAGGAACACGTGGAGGAGTGTAGCTCTACCTTCCGTACCACATGCCCAATGGCTATGCCAATGCCAATGGCTATGCCAATGGCTATGCCAATGCCAATGGCTATGCCAATGCCAATGCCAATGCCAATGCCAATGGCTATGGTGCCTGCAGTCGTAATCAGCGAAGGAGAAGGTTTAGAGTTTAGTTATAATTATGCGAATCGCCTGTTGATTTGGCCCGAAAGGCTAACATGATAATCCCATACAAATTACATTGTCACCATCCGAGTTCAAAATTACATTGTATGCGTACAATGTATAGTAGTTACATGGGTGCATAACAATAGAGTTGCCTTTTCACTGTTTTCGGTGTTTCACTATTGGCATGTGCGGGATTCCCTGGCCATGTGGCCTGGCACAAGCGAAACTTCCTAACCCGCAGGTGCGAACTTTACTAAGTCTTACTTTACAATAGTATGTGAATACGTACATGTACATGAATTGTACATGCGGGGTTCACTCTATACTTTTTAGCAGGTCACAACAACCCTCCGGTCCCATTTCAGGCCATGTGGGTCATTTGAAGAGGACCACCCATCGCACTCGTACTTCTACTCAACAGTGGGCCCCCTTTTTGTGGCGAGCAGTTCAAGTTCACTGACAACTCGTAAGTGGTATTATCCGAGAGTGCTACCCCCCCCCCCCCCCCCCCCGAGGGGTGCAAGGGTAATATGTATGCACTAATATCAATAATGGTATCATGTACTAGTCTACTTTAGTTTAGAGAGAGAAAAATGACACGGGTTCGCGTACAGGGCGGGTCAAGAACCGCCTTTCCTCTTCCGTGGGACACCACTACTCCATGATCAGGCGTCAGCTGCGGCTCTTTCAAACGATGGGGAGGATAGATCGAATCCACCAACCACAGGCCAAAGGACCTAGAAGTAGTAGAAGTAGAGTTAGTTAGCTCGTCGTGAAGTGCCCTGAGTAAAGTCCACACACACCGTGACATGTCGGTCCATGGATACTTTTCACGTTGAGTGCATGATGTACATGCACATACACTCATGGTGTTAGGTAAACACACATGTATACTCTGGCTAAATTATTTATTTAAATAACCGACGAGGAGACAACAGTCGTAAAATAGCAATGAAAAATATCAATTGTGCACTCATAATCATGTATAAACAATTAAAATGAAACAATTCCAGAACGTTTTCGTGTGACCATCATCAGTGGAACATCGTCACATAGCAAGAATCACTAAAACAACCAGTTATATAGCTAGAGTAACATGAAAAGAAGCGTGAGAATGCAGCACAGCTAGCGGTTATGCATAACGCGTGTAGTGTGAACCTTTGCAGTGTATCTGAGAATTTTTAAATAATACACACTCACCAGTTTTTGTTCACACGCACTCACAGCTGCCACATTCATCTACTGCTACCATTCTCAGATACACTGCAAAGGTTCACACTACACGCGTTATGCATAACCGCTAGCTGTGCTGCATTCTCACGCTTCTTTTCATGTTACTCTAGCTATATAACTGGTTGTTTTAGTGATTCTTGCTATGTGACGATGTTCCACTGATGATGGTCACACGAAAACGTTCTGGAATTGTTTCATTTTAATTGTTTATACATGATTATGAGTGCACAATTGATATTTTTCATTGCTAAATTATTTATGCTTTTAATACTTGTCCCCTCTATGAACTAACTTTAAAAATGTAGGATCATGTCGCCACGAAATTTTGAACTCAAGCTTGAAGTAGCCACGAAAGTAGGAGCTCTGGTCTTCTGATATGGAGACACATGTTTTGAGTGTGTGAGCCATGGTTCAACAGTGTTAGTACTCGAGCAGCAGCATCATCAATCAGACCGGAGGGAGGCAAATGCTTCTAATGGAATGATCCACTTGAGACAACTTCACCGCGCAGCTTGTGGCGTCAGCCGGAAAACAGGACAGATGAATGCAGCGCAGATGAAACAATTTTCTTCGTTGTAGTATCGAACATAGAGAGAGAGCGATTGGCCTGGAGACTGGAGAGGCTGCACTTGGATTTCACCATGCTCAGTCGTTGCTGAAACTAGTGAAAGGTCAACGGTAGTGTGTTGTGCAGTGAAAACAGCCAACCATACACCAGGCAATGAATCTGTAATGTCATAATAACAATTAGCTGTCAATGCACTTCTAGTTCTGCACACGTATCATGCCCTTCCTAGATCCTACCCTGCAACACAAGCGAGCGGGGGCAGGAGGGATGAATGCGCTGGGCTCCAGAACAACACTCTCTCATACTCAAGATGCCTGCATATTTCGTCCATGCACGCCTGGCATGGGCATTGCCACTCACGTCATGATCATGATGACCGCCCCCTCAGAACAGACAATACCTCAAATGGACTGCAATACATCCACATGCCAGACTGTGGCGATCTAACCAAAACAATCACACAAACTGCAATCTTTTTAAAAGTCACTAGTGCTAGAATATCTAGCCCAGCCTAAAAATCATAGGGATGGATCTTTGGTGGCTGCAAATGCATGTATATCAGGAGATTGTTAAGAGCGGTATTCATTTCTCAACGGTAGGAATGTCGCTGGTAATTCTGAGGTTTGCAAATTGAAGTAAAAAAAGCTGCAAAGCTGCATTCCTAACAGTAAAAATAATGGCGTAAGTGTATGTCAAGGCTCAGCCATGCATCTACTTAGGTTCAAGGCAAAAAGGGATGGAGTTTGTGTTCAAGTGAACCATAGACGTATGGATAACGCTAATAGACAGGGTACATAGTCATTGTGCCTTAGACTGCACTGCCCTCACTAGTGTGCCACGAACAATCAAAGAATATGTAGCCATTTTTGTCATTTCAAAGGCTAAAACAAGAAATACTCTGAGGAAACCAGACCATGCCAGGAAGCATGCTGGTATGTGTTGTGCACTGTGAGCTCTCACTCAGTATGTAGCATGGCATTCAAGACTCAGAGTTGCCCCAAAAACACACCTGTACAATCCTGCACAGGAAAGAATTATGCATGCATTCCTGCACTGCTGGAACAGCTAGCTGAGTCATCACACTGGATAAAGCCAGTGTTGTACTCTGCTCCACGCCACACCTGCAGCATGGGACACATCAATTTTCTCTGCATGAGAAATGTGTCGAATTCTCATTGCAAATCAACCAGCTTTTCTCAATGTTTCCATTCTCGGACAATGCGATAATTCTTGTTGTAGTTGTTGTCCCAGAACTCCTTACTGTCAACGGTGTAGCGCACAGCAAACTGTGCAACGACAAACGATGAGCGCGCTGAGATGGCAATAGGTCCCCGACCGAACGTTATCCCCACCGCAGGCAGTTTGTAGGTGAACGTAAACAGGTCGAGCTTTTCGTCCAGCGACCTGGAGTATTTCCCAATGACTTCCACGCAGTTCTCCCAGTTGTCCACAGTCAGTCTGATTTTCACACTTTTGTAATAGGCTACGTTGGCCACGCGCACTAAGCCTAACACATCTCCATGCTCACTGACTGACAGGCGCTCCAGGCACACCATGTTCGCTTCCAAGCGGGCGGAGAAATCCGTGCTTGACCAGGGCTGCGGACAATCCAAGTAGTACTTCATGGGAATGAGTCCATTGCTCGTCAGTGTGCTGGCTCCATCACTGGGCCCGGATTCGGCATTGCTCTTGCTCGACCGCCGCGCTTGCGCAAACTCGTCATCCGACAGGTCGTCATAAGATAAATTTGATGACACATTGATGCGGCTGTTTCCTATGCCGGCATTGCAAATGTTCTCCGGAGCGCTTCTATGCCGACGCAAGGGATGTCCACATTGGTAATGAAATACAGATACTAGTGGCAGGCCGCGCTCGTCTCCGAAAACTACTGATCGTGTCTGCTGACGGATTTTGACTGTCACCTCGCTGTCAGAGTCGACAGTAGTTTTCCTGCGATCGTTTGGTGCCGAGCGTGATCTCTGAAGTTTGGTTGCGCCGCCAGAGCCCGAGCGCAGTATACTACGCAGCGGCGAACGACTTGTATGTCCCGAAGATACGGACGTTGATGTTTCTGACACGGTGACGATCGATCCCGCTGTTGCCGTTTCTGTAACAGCTGATCGGCACTCGTACGTGTACGACGAGCTGCTGGTGCGTTCGACATGGCTCGATCGGGAGAAGAATTCCGGTGAACTGTCACAGCTGCTGCCGCTGAATCCGACAGGGCTTGGTGGCGAGTAGATGTTATTTCTCGCTGACGGGATGGCGGTGAAGTGTAGAAGTCGAGGGACACGTGGTTCATGATTTGAAGCACCACCCGTTGTTGAGGATGAACTGTTTTCAGGCAAGGAACGACGACCACCAGCTGCTGCTGTTGGACCAGTCAAATGCGATAGGCTGAGATCGATAGCCCGGAGAGGCCGTAATCGAGTTTTTTCGTCTTCCTCGTCATGTCGAGCTCGGTGAGATAGGTGGAAATGAGGCTTCGCCGAAGAAATCTCACCTCCACCTTCCATTAGCATTGGCATTGCAGTGTTTCTATCCTAGCTCGTTGCTAACAGCGGTTCCGTTCACCCACTGACCTAGATTAGAAAGACAGTCAACCCAGCACAGCGAGTGTGTGCTGGGTGGTTTTATACCACGGCAAATTACTGGTAGTGTTACTGCACACACTCTCCCTGTTACAGCGTCCATAGGCCATGCCGCTATCAGTGTTTGCTCGCGAGCTGACATGCAGTGCACTAGTGGGCGACCACTACGCTGGGACATACATGATTGTAGATCTACATGTAGGTCGGGCACTGAGCTGACTGCTGTAGATCTTGTCGCCTTGAAAACCTTCGTCGTCTGTTCACCTGGTTCACTGCTGCTCGACATCTCCACGAGGGCTGCCAGTGCTCTCAGCTGATGTTGCGGGCGTGTTTCCGGTCCATTCAGTGATTCACGACCATGCATGCTGTCAAGTGCCATGCTCACATACTCGTCTTGAGCACCACATAAACAGGACTTGCGACACTTCCCTAGTCCAAGAGCTAGGCTACAAGTCCTTGGCTTTGGGCTATGGCGAAATCCAGAAACCACTGAGCAGATACTGGGCATGGGATA